AAAAGAAGGAACCTGCGCGGGCCCTATGGCCTGCAGGCAGGCCCAAGTCTCCTACCGGTTAAGCCCATCCCCCAACCTAGTCAGGTCAGGTCAATTCACTTAAGGAAGGAGCAGGGCGCCAATCGCAGCACAGTGTCGGTCCAACTCCCCCACCCTACCCACTCATGTATTTATTAACCTTTTTTTTAAAATCCCAAAAAAGTTTTGACTCTATAACTGTACTGTGGTTTGTTCCACTCACCACAACTCTATTCCCCAAACCAGTGCTTTCCTGTTCCCCCCCTCAATTGAATTTTTCCAGTTTAAAAACCATTGCTACGAGCCCTGTTAGGCTAATATTTTCAGAAAAGTTATTTACATCCCCTTTTTTTTTCCCGTCTTCCCTTTATACACCTCAATTATCCTCCCTAATTCCCCCCTTTCTTGAGTGCAGATTCAAGCCCCCGTTATCCCCTTTGCGAAGATTTTTTGTACATGGGATCAAATTTTTCTCCCCATTTGAATGTTTCCCGAAACATTTATATCCATTCTGTAATCGGCGAACAAAATGTGCGCATAACTAAATGGGTTAACAAGGGTTTTCGAGTTGGAAAAAACAACCCGAGGATCTTATTTTTATGCTTCTTGATTGAAGCCAAGGATTTGTTTTGCTTTTTTTGCAAAAACCCAATGTATGTTGTCTTGGTTTCAGATTTTCGTAACCAGAATCCTGAATCTTTTTCGCAACCCTAATATTAAGTCTAATATTTTGTTTATTGTGGCATGGTTATTTTTTTGTCCAAATTTTAAAAACTTTTCATTTGTCTTTTAAACTGATCTGCCCCTTTCCGACTTGATCAGTCTATTCAAAAAAAAAAAATTCTGGGTGCTTAATGTCCTCGTCAGATTTAATTTTTGAGGCCCATTTTGGTGTCTCGGCAAACTTTTTATGTCGTTTTATGCCTCATCAAAGTCGTTTATGTAGATTGTGAACAACAGGGGCCACACTGACCCCCGTGGAACAACGCTCGTGACGCTTCCCCACTTGATTTTCCCATTTTTGCAAAAATTCTGTGCCTATTGTTAACATGTCTCTATCCAGGAAAAAAAATTTTCCTATTCCATGTCCTTTATTTTCCTCGTAGTCTCTGTTGTGGGACCCCGTCAAAAGCCCCTTTCAGAAGTCTATACACAAAATCATATTCATTCCGGGTCTCCTCCCCAAATACCTTAGTGAAAAAAAAAATAAATTTGTAAGGGGGAACGCCCCTTCGTAAAACCATGCTGAGATTCGTTGATTAATTTAGTTTTCAAAGTGGCTACGAACTGACTCGGCAAATTTTCGATTCAAAATTTTCCCATATGGAGGTTTTGGCTTATGGGCTATGTTTGAAGCTGAGGACTTTCCCTTGGGTTTTAAAATAGATATCCATTTGCCGTTTTTACCTATCTGGCACCATGCCAGTCTGTGTGTAATTGAAAAGATTAGCCAAAGGTTTTTTTAAGCTCCTTTTACATTCCTTTAAAACCCTTGCTAATTTTGTTCATCAGACCTGGGGTTTTTTGGGTTTTAATTTATCTATTTGTTAAGGCCATGTCATTTGTGACCCTAATCGTGCTGTTTATCATCTTTTGTTCTACAAAATTTATTTTTGGAATATCCTAGTATCTTTTTTGGAAAAATCTGAGAGGAAAGTATGTTTTTAAAAATTTCAATTTCCTTTCACTGCCCGTGAGCGACCCGAGTAACTTTTGGTGGGCCTATCTTGTCCTGATTTACTTCTGTATACCTGAAAAAAATCCTTTTGGGTTGTCTTCGATTTTTTGCAACTTTAACCTCAAAAATTTTTTTTTGTTTTTCTTATTCCCTTTTTTATTTCTCTTTTTAAAATTAAAATATTGATTTCTTAATTCCCCCTTCCTCTTTTTATTTCCCTTTTAATATGCCTTTTTCTTTTGCCCATGATATGTTTTAAGCTTTGTTTCCATTTGGGTCATTTTTGTTTGTCTGATTTCCCACTTGGACTAAGTTGTCTGTGGAGCTAGTTTTCCCGGAAAAAGTATTCGGCAACCCTCCCACCTACCGACCCATAGTCAGGTCTTCCGTTCGCCCCCCCAAGTAATTTTTCAGTCCCGTGAAATCAGCCCAAAAAAGTCAGGGACAGAGACTTAATTTTCCCTTATTTGGGGAATTCATGTTATTTAAAACTAGTGATTTGTGATCACTTTCCCCCAAATCATCATTAACCTCAAGATTATTAAATTTGCGTTTCCCCGTGGAAGAAAAAAAGGCAATCAGGTTAAATTTCCCCTAGTTTGGCTTGTCACAAATGTTTTAAAAAAAAAAGTATGAATCATTCAAGAAAAAACGCTTGTCTCTAAATTTTTTGTAAATTGCTTTAGTCAATCTGTCTATATTTGAAACTCCCACTATCAAAACTTTATCTTTTGTTTTAAGCCTTACAAAATTTCACCCCATAGAAGCTTCCCGAAATCCCTACCCAAAAAAGGGGGCCCCCTGAAAATCACACAAAAAAATTATTTTTTCCCAGGGCCCCCCGAGAAGCTGAAACCCAAAAACAGTTTCAGTGGCGGGACGCTTCTAATTTTATATCTTGTCAAACCCAAAAATTTTAAAAATTTCATCTCTGACTACATCGTTTACCCCATCCCCCTTCCCTTGTTGACCTGTCAGGGGGAAATTAATTTTAGCCTTGAATGTAAACATTCGAAGGAAATCTTCAAACTTTCAGATTGGCCAGGTTTTTTTTGCAATAGAAAAGAATTTTTCCTCACTTGAAATTTTTAATTTAGCTCATCTATCTAATTTCTTACCCCCCCTGCTTTAGTATATTAGCCCCTTTAAGGGAGTTTGGGCCCCTTTTCTGCCCCTGTTTTCCCTTTTTTTGTTTTAACCGGGTTTTCAATTGCTTTTTTTTATAACTTCATGATGAATGCTTTAAACATTTACTGTTTTCAACCCCTGGGTTTTGCAACCGACTTTTTCCCCACCCCCACACTCTTTTCCTTCTTCTGTCATTTAAAAATTTCCTGGGGCCATTCCAGAAATTGCAAGGGTTATGCTAGAGCTATATTTGGCCCTATGCTAGGGCTTTTATTTCGTCTATGTTAGATTTTCAGTTCTATACCTTGGATGAAACAAAAAGTAAAAGGGAAAAAATATGTTTATATCTTCCTATCCAAGTTTTATACATGGAGTGGGGGTATATTTAGTTTATACATGGAGTGGTGAAATATTTAGTTAATACAGGGGGAGTGGTGTAAATGTAGTATATAAAGGGAGGGGTGTATAATGAGAGGGGTTAATGAAAAACCCTTTTAAAACTGGATCCAAGACCCAAGATGACACTCTTCAGGTCGCTTTTCTTAACCCAAAAAGGCGGGAAAAAACCCCCCCCCCTGCTCCAAAAAAAAACCCCTAAAAAAAAAAAGAAAAACCCTTTAAAAAAAAGGAAAAAAGTGTAAAATTTGCTGCCCTGGGAAAAGTCCCAGAGAACCTTCACGCGCGCTTTAAACGGAGATAAAAACACCTCAAAAACGGGGACCCGCTTGAATTTCCCTGATCCTGTACCCCCCGGGAACGCAGGGGGGAAAAGATCCCATGATTTTTACACCGGGAAAAATCCTAGAAGGACTAGACCGAACTTGCACATAAAAAATCACTCACAACGAAAGAAAAAGACTCGGAGACGATGCAACATCCCCCCAATGAAACGGGGGGTGTCACAGCCCTTTAAAGGAGACGATACAATAAGTGTAAGGGCCCGGGGATTTTTAAAAAGGGCCCCCCAAGCTTTACGTAAGGGGGATTAGCAAAAAACCCCCTGGCAGTCTTCAAGTGGCACGGGACAAACCCCTAAAGCGGTACCTGCCAGCCGGGCTGGTCTCGTACGTTGGATTGCGTGCAGCCAGCAGTAACAGCCTGGTTGATCAGGCTCTGATCCACCTTGAGGCCTGGTCACAGACCGGGCTGCGGGGGTGTTGACCCCTGGAACTGTCTCCAGGTAAACACGGAGTGGTGTATGTCTAGTATATACACGGAGTGGTGTGTAGCTTGTCTATCAAAACCTATTAGGTTATTCTCAGTATAGTGTACATCTACTACCAAGTACCTTAATGGGATAACATACCATGTAGTAATTGTTTGTTTCATAAATGTTGTGTAAAGCCATAGTTGGGAAAGTCAGGTGTGTGTATAACAACTTAAAGGGTCATTATCTGCCTAAGATACACGTCTGAAGAATATAAAAATAAGTATTTTGAGTGACACATTATATCCCATTTTTTTTATGTCCATCGAAGAGATGTATACTCCATCTATATGCAGAAAATTTATAATTACCCTAAAAACATGCTACCTATCCATTTCAAGTTCTGTTATACTTTTTATTCTAATTCAATGAAGGTTCTGTTGAGATATATTATCCTATGGGACCTCTGTGATTTTTGGACGAATAATAATTCCCTCCTTTAATTTGGCAGCACTGATGTTTGAAAATATCTCGGCAAAGTATTGAAGCCCACTTGAATTTGCGTTACCCATCATTGCTTGAATCAAGGGGCAATTGAAAAAAATATATTTATGTTCACTTCCCTCTGTACGATTTCACTTAAATTTTTACCACAGAATCTAGGCATATCAGAAGAGACTGTGTATTTTTTTAATCAAGATCGTTCAATAAATAACGACATAAAAAAATAAAATGTGAGAAATTGTATATTGCAGCACTTAATGGAACTCAACATCAATATGGCATTATCGAAGTTATTTTTTATAGAATGAAATTATTAATTAATGCCAAACAGACAAAATGTCAAAGAGCAATCATGCAATATAATCTTTTATAGTACCCAAAAAAAATAGTGAAGATGCCTTGACATGTTTTGGGACAATTTTTGCATTTTACACCCATGGTATACAAAAATGGTAAGGATTTTTATCAAAAGGTACATGTAATGTTATAGAACAATGTTCCGTGAATAAATCCTGTAAAATTGATAAAGATCGGTTCAATAATAAAGGGAGCAAATCAATATAATTGCAGAAAATGGACTTTCCAGAAAAATGGAATAATACATTGAGGCTTAGCTTATGGTGGGTAAAAATATTCCATGTGCCTTCTTATGTTTATTAGGAGTAGAAGTGAGCATATATAACATTTATGAAGTTCCATGCAGATCCCTCCATCCTGAAGTCCTTGGCAGATTGGCCAATCATGAAGGTCCATACACATCAAACTGGAAAGAAGGAAATACACACTAAACATCGTATTGCCAATGATTATGTACAAAAGATGTGTAAATATACATATATACAATAATGATAAACATACACATACAATTAAACAACAAATTCACATGAATTATTTACCTTTGACGAAGAGTAGGCATGGACATGGATCATCTAATGGCCTCCAGCCTCATAGGAGGTGTCCACCACCGTCTTCCTCTTCTTGCTTCTTGGAGCTTTGAGTTTCTGCATTATTCTGTCCATATCCTTTAGGCGTTTTTGGTTCAATGAGGAACGCCCATATCCAAGTTGTATGTCCAAACAACTTCTTTCGTATCCTACATTGTACTCTGCTATGGCGTGGCTGACGGCGAAATCAACTTGCCACTTATTTCTATACAGGGCTTTGTTGCAATACGACCATATTCTTTGGTGAAGGCTTTCATTTGGGTTTTGTGTTCGTCCCTGTATGCATCGTTCCATCATGTCATCTCGGGTGAGGTCCTTGTAGATTTCATGCACCTTGTTGAAGTCGTCAGGTTGTAGCTGAAACTTCACTTTCATGGTTGTGTGGGATGGTGGTGGTAGGTTGTCTGCCAGTGCCTTCTGGTAAAAACACCATGAAGCAGAACCAGGTGGACAAAGGTGATGCTCTGGGTTGTCGTCAGTGGAGAAACAGTGAAAGAAGCTTGCAAGTATTCCATTCCTCATAGTTTCAACATCAGTTCCACGACTGTCCCTTAGGTTCTTCTGAAAATACTGAGCAAGCTTGTCAATCATGAAATCTGTCAACATCCCTTTCCTCTTCAGGTGATACTTTCTCTTTTTTCCGGTTCTAAGTTGTTTTTCCGTGTTGTGCAATTTTACCAAGCTTGTCAACCTATTTTTCAGCCGCTTTGCATAATGGTTGATGCACTCTTCTTTTGTAACTTGTAAACCTTGGTATGACCAGCACCATCATTGAGTTCAATAATTCCTTTGTAGGTTGCACTATCACCATCAGACACTATGGTCTTGTACCTCAACTTGTTCTTCAGTGATCTTTGCCAAATGATGAGTGCAGCTTCTACCTCCATTTTTCCTGAGGAGCCGGAAAAGTTTTTGTTGCATTTCCTTTCATGTTTTTCTTTAAAATTTTCATACGTTTCCACGGTAATTTTCTTCTTCTTCAAACGATTTTCCATATTTGACACACAAGAAACAGTATTTACACAACACTTGATTTGTCAACAACAAGCTTTGTCAAGGCATCAATAGCCACACCAATGCCAAAATTAGAATGATGGCCCCTAGTATGCCACGTGCCATCATACGTCACATCAATGTCAACAACTCCACGTGCGTCTGGCAAAGTGTCTTGTTTGGCATATTCCTTACGCACGATTGCCCTTGTTTCTGCTAGAATTATGTTGCCAAGACTGAATGGATACCCTTGTAATCATGCTTGTGTATCTGCTAAATGTTTCGTGAGTTATAACAGGTAGGTTACACAAGGCATTTCTACGAAGAAATGATTTGTAGCCTCCACCAGTCACCATTTCAGCATACACCATTCGACCTGTCAAAGCATTCAGCTGCTTACAAATACCACGTGGCTTTTTCACTAAAGCAGCCTTACACTCGGTACACGACATAGCAACAACAGTTTCTAAGTGATGCTTATAATATGTAACTTTCACCTTCTTCGAAAAACACTCGGAACAGTGAACAAATGATAGAATTTCAGAAAAATTATAATCCTCGAAACATATCATTTTCTTCTCAACAACAACAGGAGTTATCTTTTCATACATTGACACCCGTCGTTTGGCACTTGATACAGCACAAACACTGTCACTGGCACTCGCGTCAGCAGCTGTCGACGTGCTGGCGACAGCTGAACTAGGCACAACTGGGGTAGCCACATGTGGGGTGGCCACATCTGCAGTGGCCACATGTGGGGCAGCCACATATGCAGTGGCCACATGTGGGGCAGCCACATCTGCAGTGGCCACATGTGGGGCAGCCACATCTGCAGTGGCCACATGTGGGGCAGCCACATCTGCAGTGGCCACATGTGGGGCAGCCACATCTGCAGTGGCCACATGTGGGGTGGCCACATCTGCAGTGGCCACATGTGGGGCGGCCACATCTGCAGTCGTCACAGGGGTTACACTCATACATGGTGAGGTCGTCACATATGTAACTGTGGGTGTGGTGACGACAGATGTATATATAGGCGTAGGGTTGATCAATGTGGCCACAGTGGTGATGGTGGTGGCCACAGATACGTCACTTCGTTTCCGCTTCCTCGATGTTGTAGGTTTGCGGCTTGAAGTGGCCACATCTGGTGTGGCCCCGGACTTGGTGGCCACATCTGGAGTGACCCCGGACTTGGTGGCCACATCTGGAGTGGCCCCGGACTTGGTGGCCACATCTGGAGTGGCCCTGGACTTCCTGGCCTCACTCTTCCTTTTTCCCTTGATTTTCTTAGCACATGCCTTGACTGGAGAAATATTCAGAAGTTCACCAGCTGAAACTAATTCTTCATTTTCTGAGGGGTCAGAGGGTAGTAATGGCGTCGTGGCGTCACCTGCTGCTGCCTTTGCTTGTTTTAGCTGTTTCTTCATTCGCAGTCTTCGCATCCTCAACATCACAGTCCTCTTCAGGTTCAATGAGTGAATAGTCTTCTTACGCGGCATTTTGGTGCAAAACTGTATAGAATTGACGGCGAAAATACGCGTCCCAAGGGAGCCGCGCGGTCAATCAAAGGAGCGTAGGCCTTCTTCTACCTGACCCTTGGTCGGCACTGAGGTTGGTGTGGAGAGTAGAGCTCCTTGCTACAGCCACCATGAGAGTTACCAATGAGTAATTTGAAGCATTTTGCACAAAAACATAAGAAAAAATTACGGAAAAAAACTAAAAATGACAAGAAAATTACAATAAACGAACTACAGGTATGCGTGAGTCACGATAATGACGTAATTACCCCAGTTACTATAATTACGATAACTTTTTACCTAATTATCGTAAAATTACCTAATTATGTATGATAATTACCTAATTATGTATGATAATTCTATGTAACTGTATTTATGTATTTGTGTATACCTGAATCGTACAGAGACGAGACATACACCAAAAATGTTGCCAGATTGTTGAGCTATTTTTCGGTAAGATTAACTCATTTTTTTTAGTTTTTTTCGATTTTTTCGTCTATTGCCTGGCTCGATGCTTCAATGGTCCCTGAACAAAAACTTTCATTACTCCGAGCTGAATGTGGAGAGGCTGCAGGTAACTGTTCTTAGGATCAACTAATGGAACACACACACACTGAACATTGCTCATTCCAGTTCGTATTTGAAAAGTTCTTTATTGCTATTAACAGAACTGTTCGATAGGCATTGGAAGCACAGAATTTCGTGGTCTCTCATAAAGGCCCATTAATATACCAGTGACCTTGAGATCACAGACATGCCATTGACAAGTGATGTATTGGATTGCATCGAGGAGTATTTTCATGCTATGGTATATATTTTAAGTTCATGAGAAGCCCACTGATATTATAGCAATAAAAGAGCGGACCGTTTACTGGAATAATGTCGCCAAATCAATAATTTATTTCCGATAGGACATAATTGTTTCTGCTTATGTATCAAGGCAAGAAGGTTTGCTCTCTATTTAGACTGCAAGGTCAGTAATAACGTCATTCATCTCTTCCTGGGCAAAAATCTCTCGATGTCTTGAGGATAAAAACATAAGAACATAAGAAAGAAGGAACACTGCAAGAGGCCTACTGGCCCATGGGAGGCAGGTCCAAGTCTCCTACCGGCTTAAGCCAATGCCCCAGCCTAGTCAGGTAAGGTCATACAGAGCTTCTCTTAACGCCAGCCAGAGGTTGTGGTCCAGTGAGGTAAACTGTCTTACGTCTGGACTCAGATGATACACATACAAGACACTCATCCCGATCACTGATCAAAAATTTAACCCAAGAAATATAAAAAATGCGATTTTTTATGGAAGAATTAGATAAACAACCAAGTAGTTGACGAACTTCGCTATAAACAGATCAAAAAGTCACTGATGACAGTGATCTGAACTACACTACTGTGACAGTGACCTGCATCTAGACAATGCTGCACAGTGACATGGATAGACTTGCTGCACAGTGATAATTAATACAAACTGCTGACAGTGAACCTGAACTGACTTTGATGATTGTGACCGGTAACTTGGTACTGCTGACATGTGATCTGAACTGATGTCTCTGTGACTGTGACGTGATTTTGACCACTGTGGAGTGTCCTGAATAGTCACCTGCTGACAGTGACCTGAATTAGGGCACTGTGACAGTTATCTGTAACTAGTACACTGCTGACAGTGTCGGAATCACACACTGATGACAGTGACACTGAACTAGACATCCTCCCCCCTGGATGACAGAGAACGAGTAGACAACTGCTGACAGTTGACATTAACTACACACTGATGACTGTGACCTGAATAGACATTTGCTGATAGTGATCCATGTAACTAGGTTACTGCTGAGTGATCAGAACTAGACTCACTGCTTACAGTGATCGTGAATTAGACACTGCTGTGGCAGAGTGCACACTGCTCCTAGACCCCTGCTGACAAGTGATCCGAAACTAGTACACTGCTGACAGTGACCTGGAAATTAGGCACGGCGCAAAAGTGATCTGAAACTAGTGGACTGCTGACAGAGTAATCTGAAAACTAGACACTGGCTGACGTGGACCTGAATTAGGCACTGCCGAAAATGAGCTGAACTTTGGACTGCTGTACAGTGATCTGAAATTAGTGAATGCTGACAGTGATCTGACTAGGACAATGCTCTGTCAGTGTCTGAAGTAGACCAAACTGGCGACAGGTAACATGAACTAGACACTGCTTACAATGACACTGAAATAAGACACTGTGCTGGACAGTGGACATGAGCTCGATTCATGCTGACAGAGACCTGTACTAGTCACTGATGACTCGTGACCTGAATTGATATCTGCTGACAGTGACATGAACTAGAATCTAATGTGTCAGTGACCTGAACCATAGGGACACTGCTGTGGCAGTGTCCTGAACTAGACACTGCTTGTCAGTGATCTGAAATAGGACACTGCTGACAGTGACCTGAATTAGACACTGCTGACAGTGATTGAACACTAGTACACTGCTGACAGTGACCCTGAACTAGACACTGATGGGGACAGTTAAATGAAACTAGGCACTGTTGACAGTGTCCTGAACTAGAAACAGCTGACAGTGATCTGAACTTAGACACTACTGACAGTGTCATGGAAAGTAGACATTGATGATAGTTGAATCTGAAACTAGATACTGCTGACATGTGAACCTGAAAAAATATAGTCAATGTGACTGTGACCTTACTAGGAACACTGCTGACAACTGTCTTGAACTAGACACTGCCTTCGACAGTGATCTGAACTCACACACACTGGACACGGGGACCTGAACTAGACACTGCTGACTGTGATCTGAATTAGGACACTGTTGTCAGTGACGTAAAACTACACACTTGCTGACGTGACATGTATAGACTTTGCTGATTGTGCACCTAATCTAGGTTATGCGTCAGTGATCTGAAATAGGACACTGCTGACAGTGAGTGAATTAGCACTGCTTGAGAGTGACCTAAACTAGACTCCTGCTCGACAGTGACCTGAATTAGGCAATGTGACAGTTATCTGAAACTAGGACACTGGGGGTTCAGTTGACGTGGAATTCAGACACTGCTGAGACGTGATCTGAACTAGACAACTGCTGACAGGGACCTGAAACTTAGGCACTGCTGACAGTGTACCTGAAGTGTACATTCCTGATCTGTGTTCGGAACTACACACATGCTACAGGTGACCTGAACTAGGACTTTGCTGTAGTGACCTGAAGCTAGACACTGCGGAGTGTGTC